GTAGGGTATGGACTGTTGCTCTTGTGATTCCACAGCTGACAAGAGCTGCAGCTGCTGCTACTACTGGGCAATGCAAAAGTTACGATATCACATATGGCTATCCAGGAAAATCAACATTCAAAATTCCTAGAATGGTTTCTTCTGAGCAACACAATGAATGTAATTTGCTTTCCCACCACTATAAAGTCACAAAATGTCAACTAAGAAGTACAATATTAGCTCAAGGATCATTTGTATTTTGAGAAGGGCAAAACAGCACCATTAAACATAGGAACAACAATTGTGGCAACTTTTCAGGAAATTTGGAAGGGTTGGAAGGGTTAGGAAATAATGAAAGAGCTGATATTGTAGTATGTTTAAATGTCACACAGCATCATCTTAAGCAAATCCCTTCACTAAACCTCAATTTCTTTTACCTTTGAGATGGAATGAATAACACCTACATCACAAATTTGTTCTGCGGAAAAAAATCTGTGAGTTTGTTTAATCTAGTAATATGCACGCACAAAGAAATGCAAATAATTATTCCTTGACACTAGAAAAATTTGTAAATGTTAAATAAAATTGGATCATGAAGCATACCACATAGAAGATCAAGGACTTCTGAGTTCTAAGTGGTATACTTCATGATTTAATCTCGTTACATTTATAGATTTGACTAATGTCTATTAACTATATTAAACACATACCTTATAGAGAGCCAGCCAGGAAGCAATTTCAGCAACGACCATGAAGAAATGATTGCTTGACTTAGAATGGTAATGGTGAATTGGTAAGACACAGATTGAGTGTTTTCAAGAAAGAATAAACAATAGTTGGTGAAAAGTGAAAGATAAAGAACAAGTCCAAGGAACACTTAAATGCTGATAGCGAGCAATAAAGCAAAGTAATTAAGGACCCTGAAATCACACTGACACAGGTTTAAACCCTGACTTCCACTTAGTAGTTATATGTCCTAGGACAATAAACCCATCCCATCTGAATTTCATATTTGTAAAATGAAGATAACTGTGATATTCAGGGTACAGGTATTTAGCACATGGTAACCACTCAATAAATGGTCTTATGTACTCAATAGGTACATGACTTCCCACTCAATAAATGGTGTATATACTTAATATGTACAAGGTTTCTTCATGTTTTCATAGCCTTTCTGCTACAGCAGTCCTTCTTCTTTTGGCCCCTCTTGAACAACTCAATCCTTTCAGTTTATTATCTTCTTGGAAAGCTTTCCCCTAAGCAGCCTCCAGTCAAATTATTTTTGTTGTTATTACTTTGGTTCAGTTTGCCTTTTTGAGACAGAGTCCCAGTATGCTTCCCAAGCTGGCCTCAAATCCAATTCTCCTGCATGGGGCTCTCAAGTAACTGAGATTATAGGTATATGCAACTGTGCCCAGTAATAATTTTTCTTTTTTTTAGTTCTCTTTTTATTTTTATTTTTTGGTGATGCTAGGTGTTAAATGTAGGGTGTAGCAAAAGCTAGGCAGCTGCTCTACCCCTAAGCTGCATCCCTATATTTTAATTACTTCTTTAATAGCATGTACTACCAAGCATATCAGTTATGTTTATCTTACCTGTCTTGCCCCTAACCACACTGAACAGGGAGTTCCTTGAACAGAACCTTCTAATGGTTTATATCTTGATGTTCCCAGAAAGTCTCATGCACTCTTAGATGGGGCTCTGGGGAAGTGCCTGGACCATGAGGGCATGATATTCATCTGATTAGTCCCTTACGCATTTATAGCTAAACATGATGTTAGGAGGGGAAGGCTGGTTGGAGGAGGTGGGTGACTGGGGTGTGGCCTGGGGAGTTTTATCTCCCTCCCTTGTCCCTTGATCTCTCTCTGTTTCCCAATGCCATGCCATGAGCTGCTTCTCCTCTGCCATGCCACCCTGCTTTGGAGCCAGCCAACTACAGACTGGGACTTCTACAAACTGTGAGTCAAAATAAACCTTTGCTCCTTACAGTTGTGGGTATCAAGTATTGTGTCTCAATAATGAGAAAGTAACTAAGACAAAGTGAAAGACAAAAATTAGTCATATTTATCTTCTCTTCAGTTAACATAGTAAGTACAAGCAAAAGGACCCAAGTTCGATCCCAGAACAAAAAAAACAAAAAAAACATAGTAAGTACAGAGAAGGCTTAGCAATTTTTGTTAAAGGTGGTGGGAAGCATATATATAAATCTAGGTTCTTATCAGGCATGGTGGTGTATGCCTGTAATCCCAGCACTCACAAGAAGCTAAGGCAGGAGGAACCCTATGAGTTCAAGGCCAGCTTGGGCTACACAGGGTGACCCTGTCTCTCAATCAATCCATCGATCAGTCCAAGTACTTATTAAGCTCTTTCACATTAACTTCTCTCTAAATCAGTACAATCACACTTTAAAAGGAGCCAATTTTATTATTTAGAAAGGTCTTTCTCTACATACACTACGCCATTATCACCATCCATTCAATTTTTAAGTCATAGAAATCCCAGCCCATGACGCAAACTACTAGACAGTTCTATTTGGTTTCTTGGGTTTTTTTGGTACCGGGGATCAAACTCAGGACCTTGCACTTTCGAGGCAGGTGCAGCACCACTGAGCTAAATCCCTGGCCCTAGACAGTTCTATTTCTGCATCTAGTTCAGGGCTTGGGTCACAGAAGGTATCCAATCAATATCTGATGACCATTCAACAAATAGTTCAGTAGGATAAAAATGCACAATTAATAGCACCTTATACATCATCTACCAAGAAAGGATAACCTAATACCTAGAGTTATTTTTGTCAACAAAGTTCCCAACTACCTAGAAATTACATTGAGATAAAATAGTTGAATAACTGAAAATAATAATCTCTGCCAGCTGGTTTCCCTTTAAACTCACGAACACTAAACTCAAACGTGGGTCCTGAGTACTGCCCAGTATTCCTACATTTCCCTAGTTCAACTATTCCCCCATCTTCCTATATGACTATTGTATACCTTCTCTTCCCTCAAGTTTCCGTATCTCTTTCCTCATCTTCTCTCTTCTCTTTTCTCGCTCTCTGCTAATGTACTTGCTTTCTATTTCCTTTTATCCTGTTATTGTGGATCAGAGATTCTCAAGAGGGGTTGTACTGAACCACCCCAACCTGAAATGTGGGGAGGAGCCTGCATATCTCTCCTAAATGTTGACAGTCCTTGAACCGCTCCTTGTAGATCTTCCTCTGGCTTTAAATACTAAAACCACAACTCCCATTTATATCTTCTCCCCAGACTTTCCTTCTGAACTTGTTTCACATGAACATATTACTGCATACTGCCAGTTCCACTTGGAAATTTAACATATCCAAAGCTGAAAATGATTTCAGATCTTCTTCCCTCCTCTCCCTGTAGTCATCCCCATTTTGGAAAGTAGTAAATCTATTCTTCAGTTGCTCAGGCCATAAACCTTGGAATCATCCTATTCTTCCACACACCCGGCTGCTCTACCTTAGAAACATCTAGAATAGAGTCTTTCCAAACCACCTCCATTATTAACCACCCTGATCCAAGTCACCCTGACCTTCAGCCCAGATAAATGCAATGGCCTGCCAACAGCTCTCACTATTTCTGCCTGTGCTGCATTAGGTCAACAAAGCAGTCAGATCCCTTTAAAACACAAGTTAGCTCAATTTACTCTTTACTCAAAACCCATCTCATTCAAAGTAAAAACTAAAGTTCTTACAAAGTCCCACAAGGCCTTATATAACCTTGCCCCATTTACCTGAGTATCTACTGTATCTCCAATGCCTGTTCATTGTTTTCCAGCTGAACTAGCTGGTATGCTCCTGACTCATGGACCCCCTGGTAGTCTCATGGCTCTTTCCACATGGCATCTTTATTACTTTCGTATCTTCACTCAAGCATCTTTTTTATGGAGACCCCTGCAAACTCCTACCCATATTTCTGGCATCTCTATTCCCTTTCATTGTTTTATCTTTTCTCTAGTACTTTCCACCATCTGGTAGATACTTTGTTTTTTGTATCAGTCTCTTCTCTTGCCCATCCCCAATGTGAAGTTCACAATGGCAGAGACTTTTATTGTTTTTTAACTATTTCCTCCAGTATCTGGCCCGTGGAAGGTACTCAGTATTTGTGAAATTAATAAGTTGAACCTACTCTTGATGTGTGTACAATGTTCTAAACACCCATGTCTTTGGGCCTATGGTCCTATTCTGCTCATTTCTCCCCAAATTGAACTAATATAACACTGAAGACCAAAGGACACTTAAATCTACTGTAAAACTCTAAAGTTCTCAATATTAACCTTAGCCCAACACCCTTATTTTCAAATTGAAAGCTCAACCAACTACTCTCACCAAAGATATCACAAATAGTTCAGATGAAATTCAAATTTTAACATTAAGGACTCGGATTTATGAGATGAATTCTAGAAGGTACTGTAAGTTCAGTTTAAGTTTCTAGGTTCTCGTTACTGAAGACATTACACACTTCCTCACATAGCAGAAAAAATTTAGAACCAACCCAGTTTCCTAGGTTCCTCAAGTCTAGGTATGATTTGAAAGCAATCCAGAATATAAGTAAATAATGTGAAAGTGCTTTACCAAAAGAAAATGGCTCGTCACCATTAAATGTTATTATAATGAGACAAGAAATGTCACTGAGAGGATAAATTGGAGGAAATAGCTGAGTTTGGGTAGAATCGAACTGCCCTGTGAAATAATTATGGTTTAAGTAACTGTATCAAGGAAAATGCAGGTCCTGAACTGAACTCCTGAGCTTGCGACTCCACACTACGTTTCCTACCTTAGTAAGAGACAGACACACTCCGCAAGAGTGACCGCACAGGCCCCCCGAGAGTCCCGGGGGGGCGGTGTCTGGCCAACCCCTCAGCCCGAAGACCACTTCACCCGCCGTCGCCGCCGAGGTGCACTTCTCTCTCCAGACATTCGCCCCTTCTTATCGCACCTCCCAGTCCCCCAACCCTCTTCGTCCAGGCAATGCCTCCCTCTCCAGGACACACACACGTACCCTACCCGAAGCGCCGGCTCCTCCCCCGGCTTCCCGCACAGGTGAAGACGCCGGGGTCGGCTCTGCCGCCGGGCACACACCGTCCTGTAGAGACGCGGGAGCAGGAGTCCAAAGAGCGCGCGCAGCCGCAGAAACACGGGCGCGAAGGTCGAAGACTAGCCCTGCTGTACTTCCGCCTGCCAGTACCCAGCAAACACAACCGGCAACTCGGCGCAACCCTGGAAGCCCAACCCAAATCCAGTCACGCTCTGCGCCCAGAGATGACGTTCAGAGCCCACGTGGCCTGAACTCCGCCCTCTGGGATCCGCCCATCGTCCCCGAGGAGCCGGAGCCGCTCTTGAGCATGCGCACACCGAGCAGCGAGCTGACAAAAGTGAAACTCGAGTTCGGAGCGTTCCCCTTTGGAGTCCCGCGCCAAAACGTAGTCATTGTTCCTTGGGGAGCTTAATGTAACAGTCCTATAAGAACAGACATCTTCCCTAAAGCCTGATCGCAGCATCCCTCTTCCTGACATCACAAAATAGTATTATTAAAACGTTAGTTTTCAAAGTTCTTTCACACCCATGTTCTCATTTGATGGTCTCAACTCTTTTAGAACCACTGCAGGCACTAAATGGCTGCATTTAAGCGAAGATTATGTGAGTACTGACTAGGTAAGCCCATCTATCCAAGAGTGTCTCTTCCTGTTGCTGAAAAATAGCAAGCAATTAATAAACTTACTCCTAAAGAGTGTTTGAATTGGATCTAGCAGAATTCCTAACTAGGCATTTAAGATTTTTCTCTAATACATGCCATAATGCCAGGCATGTCGAATAAATACTGACGCTCAGAACAGGTTCCTAGGGCCGGGGATTTAGCTCAGTGGTTCCGACGCCTGCTTTGCAAGTTCAAAGTCACGAGTTTGATCCCCGGTACAATAAATAAATAAATAGATAAATAAATAAATAAATACAAACAAACAGGTTCCTAATCATTGGGAAGATGAGGAAAATCTGGTTAGCAGCCACGGGATTCTTGCAATCCACTGGGTCATCACAAGTTAGTGGAGCATGACTAATGATCCTAAATGGAATGAAATAGAAAGTGTCAGCATGGTTCACATATGTTAAAGGTAAATAGTATCCTGAAATTTTTACATGTATATATATGGTATACACTGTGTAGAATATGAAATATATTTCTTAGAAAGGGTGACAGAATTTGAAAGCCGCAGTCCTGGTCCACTCCACCTATTCAAAGCAGAAATCCCCTCTAGAAGATCCCCAACAGTCAGCTATTAGACCCTGTAAGAAAGATTCTGGAAGAAAGGTGAATCACTTTCCCAGTGGCAAACAGAAGTGTGTAGAATTTACTTTGAAATGTATCCAAACAATAAAATGGATTGAGATGTCTAGAATAAGTATGTGATTAACTGAGTAAAATACAATGTAATGGTATGAGCTAAGTGATGGTTCACTATAAATGGGAATTTACTGTAAAATTCTTACAACTTTGTTATATGCTTGAAATTTTTCCCAATTAAATGCTGGGGGGAGGGCTATATATGGAAAATCATAATAAGTATAAGTGATTACATGGACCTAAAATCTAGCTTCCTTTAAGTTTTATAAATTGACCCTGTTTTCTTTTCTCCTTTTGTCCCTCTTCTCCCATCTACAACCTACAACAGAAATAACTAATCCCTCTTCTAAAGGACAGCATTTCAGATATGAAAACATAGCTCTGGTTCCCCATAACCTACACAGGAATAAAAAATATTAGTTCTTTTAGTTATTTTTCATATGCCATACCTCTTTTCTGAACATGGCCCAGTTATCAGAGCCCCCAATAAATAGTTTAAATAGTTGTATTCTTTCCTATCTGTTGATTATGCTTCTTAAGGAAAATTTCAAAGAGAACTTTTTTAAAAAAAAAAAAAAAGAGGAATTCTGTATTTGTTTTCTGTCTTTTCTATTTGTTAACAAGTCTTCTCTCCCAATTAGTAACTGCATCTTTATTACTTTTTGTAAAGATAATGTTTAAAGGACTCTTTTGGGTTAGTCATATTATTTCCTCCAAGCCCCGGCACATTTTAAGTGACTCTTAAGCAACCATTTGCCTTGTGATAATTTGTTTATAAAGTCCTCTTTTCAACAAAAGTCAAATACACAAGTCTTCCAAAATTCTGAGTTCAAATAAAAGATACCAGAGAAGTCTTTGTTAATAATATACTCTTTTCTTCTCATTATAAAAGTTTGCAGTTGTAAAATCTGGCTTTACAACTCTCCCTCAATGGTGGAGTTTGAACCTAGAACCTTCACATCAAACTACAACCCCAGACTTTTTTTTTTTACTAGTTACTTTCTTTTTTTTTCTTTGGTACCAGGGATTGAACTCAGTTCCTTGTGCTTGCGAGGCAGGCAGCGAAACCACTGAGCTAAATCCCAGCCCCTTACTAGTTACTTTCTAATGGTCTCTCTAAGTCACTAAATTTCTCCTGCTGGGCTTGAACTAGGAATCCTGCTGCCTCAGTCTGCCAAAGTATTAGGATTACAGATGTACACCACCACACCCAGCCTGATTTTTATTTTCACATGCGTCACAGCTAATAGGAGTCAAAGCAACTAGGCGTGGTGGGCATACCTGTAATACCAGCACTCAGGAGGCTGAGGCAAGAGGATAACAGGGAGTTTGAGGCCAGCCTGGGCTACCCAGTGAGTCCAAGGCCAGCCTGAACTAGTGAGACCCTGTCTCAAAAAAAAAAAAAAAAAAGGTCAAAGCCATGAGATTTCTTTACTCTAAATTTATTTAAGTCTGCTTTCCTAAAAGCTAAGGTATCTCTCCTACCCACCCAGCCCCTATGAATTCTAATATGCCATTAGAGTTAATAAAGATTCCATCTGCTCTCTTTAATCTCTTCTGCTGCTTTTAGTGGATGAGTTAGGCCAATATTAATTATTTTACTTCAGTTCTAGTATCTCTTTACTCCAACTAATTATCCTGTGTCCCACATTTTTTCCTCACTACTGGTTTCTTCTTTCTGTCTACAGACCTGCTGAGATATTCTCCCATACCACTAAAATCTTTTTTTAACCTTCACCACTTCTTACCTACACTGTTAGGATGTCTTTTACCTGGTCTCTCTGCCTTCAGTGTTGCTCTACTTGTCCCTGGGACCATCTCATTTTTACACTGATTTCAAGCAGTGCTCATTTTCTAAAACACACTCTAAGTAACTCACTGTTCTGCTTGAGGTTTTTAGTGAGTCCTTCCAGGAATGTTACTTTGTAGGAAGCAGCCTTCAAGTTTATCCCCAACTGGGGGTGAACGACAATGAAAGACAAAAGACACAAAGATAATTTGGAATGAGGGGAAAAGGAGGCTCTTTGCCTCTAGTGGACAAAGAGCCCTGAGCATTTGGCTCACCTCACTTTTATTCACTTAGAAATTGGAGCAAGTTCCCAGCCCAGAGGAAAGGGCTTTAGGGCCACCTTCTGTTCCGCTGCTCCTGGCCCAGAGGAAGGGGCTTCCAGGCCACCAACCCTCCCACCACTGCCGGCCCAGGGGGAGGGGCTTCTGAGCCACCATCCCACTGCTCCTGCTCCAGAGGAAGGGGTTTCCCAGCCACCATCCCTCCGGCTGCTCCCAGCCCACAGGAAAGGGCTTTTGGGTC